AGTAGTAGTAGTAGTAGTAGTAGTAGTAGTAGTAGTAGTAGTAGTAGTTGTAGTAGCAGCAGCATCAGTAGTAGTAGTAGTAGTAGTAGTAGTAGTAGAAGTGGTAATCGTAATCGTAGTAGTAGTGGTGGTAGTAGCAGTAGTAGTAGTAGTAGTCGCAGTAGTAGTAGTAGTAGTAGTAGTAGTAGTAATGGTGCGTAGTAGTAGTAGTAGTAGTAGTAGTAGTAGTAGTAGTAGTGGTAGTAGTAGCCGTAGCAGTAGTAGTAGTAGTAGTAGTAGTAGTAGTAGAAGTAGTAGGGGTATGACTATCATCAGTAGTAGTAGTCGTAGTAGTCGTAGTAGTAGTAGTAGTAGTAGTAGTAGTAGGTGTAGTAGTAGTAGTAGTAGTAGTAGTAGTAGTAGCAGTAGTAGTAGTAGTCTCAGTCGTTGTAGTGGTAGTAGTAGTAGTAGTAGTAGTAGTAGTAGTAGTAGTAGTAATTGTTGTTGTAGTCGTATTTGTTGTAGTAGTGGTAGTGTTCGTCGTCGTAGTTTGTTGTAGTATTAGGTAGTCGTAGTCGTGGTGGTAGTAGTAGTAGTCGTTGTAGTAGTAGTAGTAGTAGTAGTAGTAGTAGTAGTAGTAGCAGTAGTCGCAGTCTTAGTCGTAGTCGTAGTCGTAGTCGTAGTCGTAATCGTAGTAGTAGTAGTAATCGTAGTAGTAGTAGTAGTAGTAGTAGTAGTAGTAGTAGTAGTAGTAGTAGTAGTCGTATAGTAGTATTAGTAGTCGTATCAGTAGTAGGGTAGTAGTACGAGTAGTAGTAGTAGTAGTAGTAGTAGTAGTAGTAGTAGTAGTAGTAGTCGTAGTCGTAGTCGTAGTAGTAGTAGTAGTAGTAGTAGTAGTAGTAGTAGTAGTAGTAGTGGCAACAGCAGTAGCAGCAGTAGTGGTAGGCCCAGTAGTAGAACTACCCTGTGACATGCCAAACCCACGTGCATCAAATGGCAAGAGGGTTTGGCCCCAACTTGTCAGGACAATGGCAGTGCAGGCGCCGCTATGCGTTGTGCAAGCTATATGGGATGCAGTCACAGATCGCGGCCTCTCAGGGATGGCGATGGCAACAGTTTCGCAGATCGCAGCCCCCCAGGGACGGCGAGCTATAATCTGAGTATGGGTGGTGCGTCGCTCCGCTGAACCCCCCATCAGCCCTCGAAAGTGGTATCAGTTTCGCAGATCGCAGGCCCCCAGGGATGGCGAGCTATAATCTGAGTATGGGTGGTGCGTCGCTCCGCTGGACCCCCCAGCAGCCATCGAAACCGGCAACAGTTTCGCAGATCGCAACCCTCTCAGGATGGCGAGCTATAATTTGGGTCTGGGTGGTGCTTCATTCCGCTGGACCCCCAAATAGATTTCGAAAGTGGCGACAGTTTCACAGATCGCAGTGAATCTGGGTGGTGCCTCACTGCGCTGGACCCCCCAGCAGCCATCGAAACCGGCAACAGTTTCGCACATCGCAACCCCCCAGGATGGCGAGTTATAATCTGTGTGTGTGGCGGATACCACGATGCTGGTCCCTTCAGCAAGCCCCAAAAATTGCGACATATTCGCAGATCGCACCCCCTTACCCGGGAATGGCGAGATCTAACGTGAATCCGCCGCGGGTATCCATTATGCTGGCCCCCCCAGCAGCCCTCGGGGCCAGTTTCGCAAATCGCAGCCCACGTATAATCTGAATCCGCGGCGGGTACCCACTATGCTGGTCCCCCCAACACCCTTCGAACGTGGCGACCGTTTCGCAGATCGCAGCCCTCCCCAGGGATGGCGGGGTCTAATCTGGATCCGCGGCCGGTACCTCGCTATGCTGGTCCCCCCAGCAGCCTTCGAAAGTGACGACAGTTTCTCAGATCGCAGCCTTCCCCAAAGGATGGCGAGGCCTAATCTCACACCGCGGCGGGTACCCATTATGCTGATCCCCCCAGCAGCCTTCGAAAAGGGCGACAGTTTCGCAGATCGCACCCCTCCCTAGGGATGGCGAGGTCTAATCTGAATCCGCGGCGGGTACCTACTATGCTGGTCCCCCCAGCAGCCTTCGACCGTGGTGACAGCTTGCAGATCGCAGCCCTCCCCAAAGGATGGCGAGGTCGAATCTAAATCCGCGGCGGGTACCCTTCATGCCCATCAGCCTTCGCGAGTGGCTACAGTTTCGCAGATCACAGTTCCCAAGGCATGCCAGCTTCACACTTCGCAGGCCCCATAGGCAAGCCACCAGGCGCACAGGAAAAGAGAGGAGAAGGGAGGTGGAGAAAAGGAGGAGAAGGGGGTTGGAGACCGCAGTGCTCTTTTCAAAACGAGAGCCCAACGCAGGAGGGTTAGGAAAAAGGAACAGCAGCAGCAGCTGCAGCAGCAGTACCAGTAGTAGCAGAAATGGCGCTGACGGTGATAGTAGTACAATCAAGGCGATGAAGAGGGAGGGGGGAGCTTTGGAGAAGGAATGATGATGCTGATGATGATGATGATGCTGATGGTGATGATGATCCTGATGACGATGATGACGATGATGGTGATGAGGACGATGGTGATGGTGATGGTGTTGATGGTGATACTAATGATGATGGTGTTGATGATACTGTTGGTGGTGATGACGACGATGACGTCGACGAGGACGACGATGATGAGGAGGTCGACGAGGATGACGTGGACGACGACGACGATGATGGTGATGATGTTGATGATGCTGATGATTATGACGATAATATGATGGTAATGACGCTGGTGATGATGCTGATTCTGATGAGGATGATGATGGTGAGGGCGATCATGACTGTGATGGTGATGATGATGACGATGTCGACAACGATGCCGATGATGATGCTGTTAATGATCATGACGACGATGATGATGAGGATGATGCTGACGAAGATGTAGATGAATACGAACATGAAGATGAACACCAAGATGATGATGAAGATAATGATGATAAAGATGATGGTGCTGATGATGACGATGTTGGTGATGATGATGATGATGGTGATGATGATGGCGATGAAGATGAGGAGGATGTCGATAAGGAGGTCGACGAGGACGACGTGGACGACGGCGATGATGCCGATGATTCTGATAAGGATGATGGTGATGCTGATGCTGATGATGATGCTGATGCTGCTGATGATGATGATGATGATGATGATGATGGTGATGATGATGATGATGATGATGATGATGATGATGGTGACGACGATGATGGTGATGGTGATGATGATGAAGATGATGATGATGCTGATGATGATGATGATGATGATGATGATGGTGACGACGATAATGATGGTAATTGCGCTGGTGACGATGCTGATGATGATGAGGATGATGATGATGATGATGAGAAATATCATGGCTGTCATGGTGTTGATCATGACGATGTCGATTACGATGCCGATGCTGATGCTGATGATTCTCATGTCGATGATGATGATGATGATGATGATGATGATGATGATGTTTATGATGATGCTGATCCTGATGAGGATGCTGATGCTGATGAGGATGATGAAGAGGAAGATAATGAGGATGATGATGCTGATGACGCTGCTGATGATGATGGTGATTCAGATGACGGTGGTGATAGTGATGATGATCATGTCGATGTCGATTACGATGCCGATGCTGATGCTGATGATTCTCATGTCGATGATGATGATTATGATGATGCTGATCCTGATGAGGATGCTGATGCTGATGAGGATGATGCAGAGGAAGAGAGTCAGAATGATGATGATGATGCTGGTGACGATGCTGATGATGATGAGGATGATGATGATGAGACATATCATGGCTGTCATGGTGTTGATCATGACGATGTCGATTACGATGCCGATGCTGCTGATGATTCTCATGTCGATGATGATGATGATTATGATGATGCTGATCCTGATGAAGATGATGCTAATGATGATCAGGATGATGGTGGTGGTGATGATGATGCTGTTAATGATGATGATGCTGATGCTGATGATGATGGTGATGCTGATGATGATGCTGATGAAGGCGATGCCGATTTCGATGGCTAAACCGAAGACGATCACGATGATAATGAACATGACGCTGGCGATGATGATGATCATGACGATGATGCTGATTATGATGATGACGATGATGATGATGATAATGGTGGTGCTGGTGGTGGTGGTGGTGGTGGTGATGATTATGATGACGACGATGATGATGATGATGATGATGATGATGATGATGATGATGACGATGCTTATTATGATGATGCTGTTGCTGATGATGGTGATAATGCTGATGTTGCTGATTATGATGCCGCTGCTGACGATGCTGATGATGATCATGATGCTGACGATGAGGATGACGATGACGATGACGATGCTGATACAGCTGACGATGCTGCTGACGATGACGATGCTGATGGAGATGACGATGATGAAGATTAATCTTATGATGATGATGCTGATGCTGACGCTGATGCTGATGCTGATGCTGATGAGGATGCTGATGCTGATGAGGATGATGAAGAGGAAGAGAATGAGGATGATGATGCTGATGATGCTGCTGATGATGATGGTGATTCAGATGATGGTGGTGATAGTGATGATGATGATGATGATGATGATGATGATGATGACGATTATTATGATGATGAATATGATGATGATGATGATGATGATGATGATGATGATGATGATGATGATGATGATGATGATGATGATGATGATGATGATGATGATGATGGTTGTGGTGGTGGTGGTGATGATGACGACGAGGAGAAGGAGGAGGAGGAGGAGGAGGAGGAGGAGGAGGGCTGCCAGCGTCGCCACTTTCATCGTAACCGCTGCTGCATCATCTACCGCGTTATTATCCTCGCTGTCGTCTGTCGTCACCACCTTTCACCATATCGTTGCCTCAGTCGCGTCATCGTAGGCACGTCGGCACAGGGGGACCCTGGACAGATGACCATTGATGTGGCGTTTCTCCGCGATGATAGCATGAGAAGTAGTCGGTCCGTGCTGCCGAGCGGGGCTTGCCTGTCGGATGGATACGTCGCGCTCGGCGTTGGCCCAGGCTGCGCTTACGGCTTGTCCAAGTTCCGAAGTGTCGCGCTCTCGGTGGTCATTTTCTGTGTGACAGTTTCCCTTATCCCAATCTACAATAAAAAAGTATTATCCGGAAACAGCGACGTTGATACGTTCCCGTACCCTGTCGCCACTTCTTTCCTGCAGCTCAGCTTCGTGTCACTTGCGCTGGGCCTTGGCGACTCGCTCGCGTTCCTGCTGTGCCCTCGTCGGGCCGAGTGGAGCCCGTCCTGGCTGTTCGGCCCGCACTTCTGGTACAAGCTGCGGTACTCGGGCCCGGCGGGGCTCTGCTTCGGCCTGAAGTTCTCCTTCACGAACTGGGGGCTGCTGCTCGTGCCCACGGCCACGCACATGCTCCTCCAGTCCACGGACCTCCTCTGGACCGTGGGGTGCGCGTGGCTGGTGGTGGGCGAGCGGGTGGGCGCGCAGGAGGGCTGCGCCGTCCTGCTCACGGCCTTGGGCACCATGCTGATCAGCCTCGACGAGGCCACGTTCGTCGCTGCGCCCCTCGGACGGGGGGGTCGAAGGAGGAAGCCTGCGCCACCCTCTCTCTCTCTCTCTTCCAGCGCCGGCCCCCGCCCGCCCTGCGCTCATCCTCTTGCTGCTGCCGGTCCTCCTACAGTGGGGGCGCGCATCAAGAAACCATCTGTTTCTCGTCAGGGGACCCTTGGTTTCTTCGCTCCGCGCGCTGCGTGGTGACTTCCCGCGGCCGTCAAAGCAGCTGCTGCGTTCAGGGTGCTCGAGGTTTCCCTTCAGTTGCACCTCGCGCGCGGGTTTTCAGGGTTGGGCTTCTTGCGAGGGTTTTTCGCGGCCGCGCCCGCACTGTATTCCCCTCCTGCTCCCTCTCCCAGGGGAGGAAGGACCAACCTTGGGACCAGCCCGTCCCTTAGGAGTGGCGCTCGAAAGGGCTGCCCCGTGCGCTCACTGAACAGCCCTGCCCCGCTCGGGTTCCTGTTCGGGGCGCGTCTGCTGTAGGGCCTCGGTTGCACAGTCCACCCGCATAAGGAGGATTGGCAACCATCCCAAGGGTACCCTTGCATCCTCGCCCCTTCCGCCCATCCTTGGCCACTTTCGCTGGCCGCGCCCCGCTCGAAAAGCTTCGAGATGGCCTTCCAGGGCCCTTGCACTCTGGCCGCGCACCCTTGCGATGCGGGCGGACTGAAGGGGGTGCTCACGTGCGGGTGGCCCTCCCGCCCTCTGCCCCTGCGGGGACGGCGTCGGCCCCCCTCTTGGACCCCCTGGGCGTGCCCCTGCTTGTCAACGTGCTCACGCCGCTGCCCCTCGCCCTGAGCGTCGCCGCGCTCCGGCGCGGCGTGAAGGAGCTCATGCGCCCCGACAACCGGGTCGGCGGCATGCTTGCTGTGGAGGTTCGGGCGACGAGTGCTATACCGGAAACTGGAACAGATACAGTACCAGTGGCGATCTGTTTTTCTATCCCAGGCTTTCTTGGGGGGTCGAGGACGACGCTGGGGTGGTGTGGTGTATACTTTCACGAAAAATGTCTACACCAGGGTTCCGCATACACCAGAATTCGCTCTCCAGTGCAAATTTCAATGCTGGGCCGGAAAAAGCTTCGGTGTATAGAGTGCGATTCCCTTATATATATATATATATATACATCAGAGGAGGGAGAGGGTGCCCATACCGCTGCCCTTGCCCCGTCTTCGCCTCTTTGGAGCCTCATGGGCCTCTGTCCTCGCCACCGCTGGGTTCGCCTCGAGATCCTGGCCAGAGCGCGCCCCGGGAGAGACCCCGGGAGTGGCGGTATCGGTACCTTTCAGGAGGGACCAAAACACACACAGACACCATTAATCGTCGATTCCCCGGAAAATATAGGAAAATATGGGAAATGGGGGGAAGACAGAAACCAAGAAAATATGGGGAACTATGGGGGATCCTGTTTTTTTTTTTTTTTGTGTGTGTGTGTATTTGTGTGTCCTTGGGCCCCTTTGGCCTTTCGGTTTTCCCAGCTGTTTGTACACCTGCGCCGACCCTGGCCAGGCCCCTCCTGGGCCCAGGAAGGGCCTGGCCAGGGTCGGTGTGCACGCATGGTGGGCGTCCTCTTCAGAGGTCACGGCCATTAAGCTCGCGGTGTCGTCCCTGACGTGCCTCGCGGCGGCGTGCCTCGTCGAAGGGGGCGGTCTAGGCCTGAGCAGGTGCGCGGGCCTGAGGGAGGGTCGCGCTGAGCCGTGGTGGGAGGCGCTGGCGGTCTACCCCGCACGGGGAGTCTCGCTGGTGCTGCTGGTGGCGGTGCTGATCCTCGTTTTCCAGGTGAACATCACGTGGCTGGCACGACTGACCTCCGCCGTGACCGTTGGCATGGTGGCCAGCGTCAAGGTCGTGCCCCAGTGGCTGCTCAACGGCCTGATGGGGCTGCAGGCCCACACATCCGGCGCCTCGATCTTGCCGAGACCCGGGGCCCCGGACCTCTCGGCCCTCTCCTGGGCAGGCTTCTCAGCCCGCGTGGTGTTAAGTCGGGCCTGTCCCTCTGCAGCGGGAATGTTCAAGAATAGTCAGAAAATAGTCAGGGGACGATTTTGTTTGACTATTTTTGAGCATTTTGGAGGTATTTTGGGGGTATTTTGTATATTTCGCCCAGGATCAGTCCCCCTGTAGGGGGACACGCCCGACTTAAGCGTTGTGTCTCGAAGGTCCTGGGGCCCGGGCCAAAGGTCACCCGCGGGGCGCGAAGACAACCGCGCTCCGCGCCTCGCGGCCTGGGAGGAGGAGGAGGAGGAGGAGGAGGAGGAGGAGGAGGAGGAGGAGGAGGAGGAGGAGGAGGAGGAGGAGGAGGAGGAGGAGGGCGGGAGGCGCCCTCCTCCAGGGCTGGCGGCGCGAGGGTGGCGAGGATCACCGCGCGCCGCGCATCGTGGGGCTGCACCGCGCGAAGTTAGGCGACCCAGGCTGTTCTTGGGTGGTCCTGGGGCCCGAAACCGGTCCGACATGGGGAATCTCAGATCGGCGTTTTGCCTTTTTTCGGGCCCCTGGACCTCTCGACATCTTCCTGAGCAGGGTTTTCGTGCCGAGTTGACTCTAGATGGTCCTGGGGCCCGAAACGCTCACAGAGGCCCAGGTGAGACGCTGTCAGGAGTGTCCCTGGCCCAATGTGCCCCCCCCAGGATCTCCTAGGAGGCCCCACGGCCTCCAAGAGCACCCCCCACGAGGCCCAGCAGGCCCGAAGGGCACCTCAGGCCAGGGACGCCCTCAGCAAGCCCCGACCAGAGCGGCGACGGCTCCTGGCATCTTGCCTTCGGTTCGACGAGCTGCCAGATGGCCGCAGGGGCCGACCTCCCCTGCCTTCGCGGTGGGCGTGGCGCTGGTGCTCCTGGCGAGCCTGCTCTACCTGCAGGGCAGGGCGGGCTCCTGCGAGCAGGCGCAGGGGCTCTAAGAACAGCAGTCGGCACAGACATAGGCAACGTGGGCATAACCCCCCTGGCGTCGTGGACAAAAACACGACGGACGGTTTTTAGCCGTCTTCGGCCTCTGGGAGCCCTCGCAGGGCCCTGGGACCGTCAGAACACAATTCAGGACGAACAGCCGGCCCCGGGGCATGGGTCGGGACCTCCAGGGGTGACGTTGTGAGACATCATGACGTCGGGGGGCTGAGATCTGGGACAGGAGAGAACCGAACCAGCGCACACCTCCGAAATCGGGGGTGGACCTCCTACCCCGACACGTCGATTAGCGAATTGGCCGTTTTTGCTTCGCGAGAGGGCGTCGCGGCCGTCATTTTTGCGGGTCCAGGTCCGTCGGTTTCGGTCCCAGGCCAGTTTCACTAAAGGGAGGTTTACCAAAGGGAGGATTGTCCCCCGCCGACGAAAAGAAGTGATTATGCCGACTCGTGTTCTTCTTTAAAGGTGCACCCTCGCTGCATCCGCCGATCCGCCCCCCGCCTCTCCCTTCTCGCGCTCGCGAGGGGGCGCGTCCGCGGTTTGTAACCCGAGGGGTGGTCCTGGCCAAAGGTCTCCCCAGCTTTTCGCGCCAGTTCGGAGCCCCCCGCCCCGGCCAACCTCAGGCCTTGTGAGGGTTGCTCTGACTCTGGAGGCCGTCTGGGCCCCCCAGGACATCCTGGGGACACCTTGGGCCTTGGGTTAAGTCGGGCCTGTCCCTCTACAGGGGGAAAATTCAAAAATAGTCCAAGCATAGCCTGGGGACTATTTTTTCAGTATTTTATGGCATCTGTTGAGTATCTTTTGAGTATTTTTTATTTCTCGTCCAAAATACTCCTGTAGTGGGACAGGCCCTACCTAAGCCTTGGGCACCTCTGGCGACACCCGAACGACGTGGGAGGGCGGAGGACGCTCCCCAGAACCCTGGCGCCGTGGACAAGAATCAAGACAGGCTTCCATAGCTTGGGAGTCAACAGCCATCCGTGACAAACTTGTCCCCTGTACGGGGTCGCGAGGTCCGGGGCCCGCGCACACGTACTGTCAACAACCACAGTAAGGATGGGAAACCTTTCCAAGGGTACCCTTGCATCCCTGCCCCTTCGGCCCATCCTCAGCGACCTTCACTGGCCAACCTTGCTCGAGAAACGTCCACTTGGCCCTCCAAAGCCCTTGCACCCTTACCGCGCATCCTCATGATACGGGTTGACTGTACCCCTCGGGGAGGACCCAGTTATCTGGCGATGCTTCTTTTTCAATCTGGGCGTTTTTCCTCGCTTTCGGCCTCTGGCCCGCTGGCGGGTCTCGTGCGTCCGCCGATCTGATTTCTTCGAGCCGCGACTCCAGAACTTCCGACCCCTTCACTGGAGGTATTTTTCGTCCTGGATCCACTTTGATGCTCGCGGTGCTCGATCCGTTTTGATGATCCCGGTGCTCGAAAATCGGACGGGGATACGGGTTGACTGCAGACCACGGCAGGGCGCCAGAGGTCCGCGTCGGGCCTAGAGGAGGCCAGGAGAGAGCACACACGGGCACACACGGGCACGCACACACACTGCGGACGCCCGCGGGCGTGGCAGGTCTTCGCCTGCGCAGGGCCCCGCACCCTTGGCCGGTGCCTTCGGCACCAGCCCAGGCGCTCTTCGCGCGCTCGGGAGGGATGTGGTTGGCAGCGCCTACCGTCGAGACCCATGCCAAGAAACGCCCTGCTTGCCTCCAGTGTGCCCTGGGTTTTTTGGGTTTCGGTGGTTTTTGCCATGGAGAGCGCGACGTTCCCACACCAAAAATCAATCAATAGAGGTCCTGGGGTCTCACGGATGGGTTTCTTGTAGAAGATTTTTTGTGGACTGGCCTCCGTTGTATCATGTGTTAGGATGCAGCTCATGGGAGGTTGGATTCAGCATCGGCGCTGGTATATCGCTTAATCCGGCTTAGCATCCCACTTCATCCGGCTTAGCCCAGTTCACTTCTCGGTCTAATCCGGCCTGATTTGGCTCAATGGCTTCTGAATCTGGCATGATCGCTTTGAATCGTTCTGACGAAAACCTCCCAGGCGCTGCCTCCTAACACGGGGTGGGGAGAGGGGGGTGGTCTTCTAAGCAGGCGGCGGGGCTTCAAGAAGGCAGGGGGGCTTCTGAGACGCCCGCCCAGCTTCCAAGAAGCCCTCTTAGAAACCTCCCGGGGCCTTCTCGAGAAGGCCGCTGCCCTTCTAAAGAGCCCCTCCGCCTTGCCCGCCCCCTTCTCGGTTGCCAGCAGTGTGGGGAGGGGGCCCCGCGCCGGTGGAAGCCTGCCGCCAACGGACCGCCTAAATGCGTGCGTGCGTGCGTGCGTGCGCGCGTGCGCGCGCGTGTTGTGTGTGTGTGTGTGTGTGTGTGTGTGTGTGTGTTTGTGTGTGTGTGTGTGTGTGTTCGTGAGTGTGTGTGTGTGTACGTGTGTGTGTGTGTGTGTTTGTGTGTGTGTGTGTGTGTCCTCCCGACTCCTCTCCCGACGGCGCTCCGACCA